TGGAGCAGGCCAGAGCCTGCTGAGCGGAGGGAGAGGACGGGTTAGTATGGGGTTAGCAGGTCACGGAGGTAGGGAAGACCAAGGCAGTGGAGGGCTTTGAAGGCGAGAAGGGAGGGTGGGTGGGGGAAGCCAGTGGAGCCTGGCGAGGTTAGGGGTGATAAGGTCATGGAGCCTGGTACAGGGACAAGAATGTTGTGGAGCCGTGTGAGATGTGTCGCCAGTGCTCTGCACTCCAGATGGTTAACGTGTTCAAACCATCCTCAAACCTCCGGAGAAATGTACAGCCCGAGCTCAGCCCCCAGGACAGAAGAGCACGATAATTACGGAAAGTTGGAAGCGAGCAGAGGCTTCTACCTCAGCCAATGGAAAGTATGATGTTGGACGTGGAGTGGGGGTGGGGGGGGGGGGTTGGGGTGGGGGTGGAATGCAGTGGAATGCTGTACTGTAAAAAGTTATTGTTGGGGAGAAAAAATGACGAGTGACTATTGAGAGCTTCAAATAACTCCCATTCCCCACCCACAACACCCCCGTCCTGTCTTGTGTGCCCCCGTCCGTACTTACTGCAGTCTGTAATAATAATATTTTTGATTTGATATAGATTATCACGTCATTGAGACGTCTCAAACCGCTTCGCAGCAAATACTGTGCTGTGGACTGACTGTGTGTTTTGTGTCCGAAGGTTTGTGCTATGTTTTCACGCCAATGGATAAATAATAATTGTAAATAATCTAATAATAAATAATCTAATAATTAAGAAACAAGTCCACGTTCGATAGAGCGCTAATAACAGCAACACACTTGGCTGCCTCCTTTACCCTCCAGCTACACGGTCAATCCTGTGAATCGTTTTGAGATGTCTTCCCCGACGTGGATCAAATGTCCGGATTATTATTAATTAATAGTTGAGCAGAGAGGGAGAGTGACCTCGGTGACGGACATCTTAATTGTGATGGGATTATTCAGTCACCTAACACGTCGAGCTGGGTGTCAGCCTGGCGCAGCTCTCTCTCGCCTCTGAGTCAGAAGGTTGTGGGTTCAAACCCCCACATCAGGACTTGGAATCACATTGTGTAAGCTGACACTCCAGTGCAGCGCTGGGGCGGGAGTTGTATTGTTGGAGACGCCATCCTTTGGATGAGATGTTAAACCAAGGTCCCATCTGCCTGTTCAGGTCAACTTCAAAGATCCCACATGCTATTCAAAAAGAGAAGGGAGTTTCTCTCTCCCTGTATCCTGGCCAACAATCCCCCCAAATAAAATTGGTCACTCACTCCATGGCTGTTTGTGGGATATTGCTGCGCGCAACTGCTGCCGCATTTGCCTACAAAACACAGTCATTACACTTTAATCCTATGAAGCGCTTTGAGATATTTCACCATTGTAGGCGGTGTATCGAATGAGAGGAATTATTAATAAAACCATCTCTCTCTCTTTTTTCCCTCTTGACAACCTGTCGCTTAATTTATAACCTCAATACAAAGAGGAAGTGTTGGGTTTCGGGTGTGTTTGGCGAACGATATAGAAGGGGCTTAAACTGGAGATTAATGGTGCAGGAGATAGGGCCATAGAAGCAGATGGTGTCGCGACGATGACACCAGCATTTAAACAGGGATCAAACCAAACCGCCCGAGGCCGCGCTCGGTAAATATTTAATAAGTTAATGTGCAGCTGACGAGCTCATGGTGAGGATTAATTATCTCACGAGGGCGACGGCTGGAGACATTCCCAGATCTCCCCAGATCAGAGCTCGTTCTGCACGGTGCGTCAGGCTCGGTACATGCCCCCCCACCTTCCACCTCCAGCAATCAATGCTCTACCACAACCGCCCTCTGGAGGTGGGGGGGGATAATAAATATAATCGTGTCTATTGCTCCAACACGAGAGAGAGAGAGGGATACACACACACACGCACAGAACGAGAGACTAACAGAGAGAGACACAGACAGAACTAGAGACTGTAGAAAGAGAGATAGACAGGAAGAGTCACTGACACGGAAAGAGAGCGAGACACCCATAGAGACAGATATGGAAAGAGAGAAAAGGGGATAAACAGAGAGAGAAGGAACCTGGAAGTGTTGGGTCTCACTTAATGGGGAAGGAGGGGAGATAGTGGGGCTCAGTGAATGTTGAGGGGGGGGAAATAGTGGGGCGAGTATTCTGGGAGGATGAGATCAAGTGATCCGAAGCTCTGGTGTGATCTATCGAGCACCAACCATTTAAGGGTAGAGTTACGTGTGCTTCATATAGAAACATGACTAAGCTGGAGCCAGCGAGCGACATCTCCAGTGCCCGGCGAGCTTAGCGATAGCAAGATATTTATAGTGAAACCGTTAGGTTAGTGTTGCCCTCAACCTCAGTGCACATGTCTGGCGCACTCTCAGCACTAAATATAACACACTGGAAGACGGTTACAACTCCCGGCACTTTCTAGAAGACGAGTTTATCCGTGGGCAAAACAAAAACCAAGAGAAACAACATCGGGCACAACATTAAGTTCATCAACAGCAAATGCCATTTACACAGCGCCTTTCACGTCGGGAGGCCGTCCCAAGGTGGTCCGGGATTTGGACCCGAGCTGGGTAAAAACACGGTTACTCAATCCATAACTATTTGTGGGACGCTGCTTTATGCAAATGGCTGCCTCGTTTTGCCCACAAAATACAGTCACTCCACTTTACAGTATATTCTGTGAAGCCCTTTGAGACAGCCTAACCTGCACTGTGTATCAAATGCAAGGATTATTATTATTATTAATTGACCAAAGAATTGAGCAAACACAGCAATTATAATGAAAACTCCTTTTTTAATTGAAATATTGAAAAAAAATGAAACCTACAGGATACCTTTACACAAATTGGGTCCAAAATTCAGAGGGTGGGGGGTGGGTGGGGTTTGAAATGCTATAGAGAATAAGATTTAAAAAATGCTGTTTAATTTACAATCATTCTACAGGGAGTGAGGTATGTCGGGGTATATACACATGAGTGCCAACAGTGCTTACAGTGTAGTAAACAGCTCCCCATTCTTTTTAAAAAAAGCACAGGAGAAAAGAAATCCTTACAAATTCTTCTGTAAATTTCAGTGATGAGATTAAACTGGTATCCATCCTATTGAGGTCTCCCATCCAGTTCACAGCTTGTTTTTTTGGTCAGCCGGGTGTCCAACCCAGACTGAGAGCTTCCAGCGTCTTGGGACGTCCTACTGAAGTGAAAGGTGCTATATACAAATGTAATTTTGTATGATAATGATTGCCACTGCACATGGGAATGTCTCCGTTTCCCTGTCTTTTGTCCAAACCCTCCACTTCCCAACAGTCTCCACACTCCTGATGATCAACGCCATATTAAATACAAGGATTATTTATCGCAAGTATTCATCAATCGCCCTTCTAAACATCTCCATCAACTTTGTTTGCACTGAGGCAGTGTATTTGACACTCTCATTATTCTCTGTGCAATGAAAACAATTCTGATCTCACTTCAAGCTGTGATTGTAAAAGTTTGACCCCCCCATCCCCCCAAAGGGTGAAACGCCTTCTGAATCTCATAATTCTGGGCGACGCAATCTTAAATTTCCAGCTAAGAGATGAGCAGTTTCCCCCACTCCCTCCCAACCCGCCCCAAAGCAGGACACCAACAAGATTGAGCAGAGGTGAGGAGTGAGGGCAGGACCCCCCAAGCTTGGTGTTTGAAGGTCTGGAGACGATGGGAAGGTCTGAGGAAGGTGAGGAACATTAAGTCAGAAGGGGAGATGGAGCAATGAGTCTTCATATGGACACAGAGATGATTCAGGGAGATGGAGAGCATGTAGTCTGGCTGTCTCTCTTCATTCTTCACTAGAATGGGGTTAGTTCCAACCTTTACTGTCCTGTGAACATGCTGGACAGAGATATCGATGGCAACCTATGTGGTCTTAGCTGGTTAGCCTCCAGCAGTTACCCCAATGCACACTCTGGGTGGGGTCCCCCCAAACCTTGAATCTTGCCAACCTGCGCCTAATACTTTCTGGAATTAGAGAAGCAGGATGCCTCCCTCCAGGGAGGGAGAGAGAGAACGCATTCCATTCCAACAATCTATCTCTGGAATTTCTCTGTGTAGGTGAGATACATGGAAATCTCAGTTTGCTTTGGATACTCTTAAGCACGGTGATGGGTTTCCGCGTGTGTCAAACACCCAGATGGGGGAAAAAAATATTATGGAATCCAATTCCCTCGTTCTGCCCAAACTCCACTCGTTTGCTCCACTCATCTTCCACACGCCAAATCCTGGGAACAGACCACACCCAATAGAGGACACCCCTCTAGCGCCCCCTACTGAGAATTAATAAGAGTTACAGCTACAGGACAAGTGGGAGCAACGTGGCATTTAACCCACGATTTGCCCTTGACCATTGAGTTATTACAGACCAAAGACATGGCTAAAAATTCCTCCAACCATTCGTTTCTTTAGGAACGGCAAATGTCTGAGACATGTCTTAGCGAGCGATGGACAGGTCATCACCTTGGTCGTGTGAACGTCACAGGTATTAAACACCAAGTCTGGTTCTAATCTGAAGGATCGAGTTCCAGCGAGAGCAGTGATGTCCCTCTGACAGCTTGGTCGCTAGGTCAGTAGAGAGGCAAGTATCAGTCCCATCAAGCGCTCAGGCTCCTGCAGTCTCAGGACTCAAGACACTCTATCTATCAAGGATTGGCAAATGGGATGAAAGTTTCCTGGACGGCAGAATCTCCGAAGAGCATTTTTATGGCTGAATAAAGCTTGTCCCCAAAGCGGTGGTGGTCTTGGTGGTGCTGGGTGGAGGGGAAAGAATTCTCCCCACAAGTCTATTGTCAGCATCTCTTTCATCCTCCATCCATTGATCCCTCCAATCCCTCCCACTCCACCCCCACCCCTGCACCCATTCATCCGTTATCCATCAATCCATTCCTTTATCCATCCAATACTCTGAGATCCTGCCCTGCATGAAGGGCACTATATAAATGCAAGTTGTTGTTGTTGTCTCCTCTGGTGCTCTGTGCTCGGGGGGAGCAGAGGAGGGGGAGAAGGAGAGGGGGGTCACGCCCAGCCACGCTGCCTGTCAGGCTCAGTTCTCATTAGGTTCATTGTGTTGACGAGGCAGCTGGTGGAGCGAGCAGTGAGCAGGCCAGGGGGTCAGGGCGGGAACAACATAAGAGAACGGAACACAATCCTGGGTGGGTTTCACCAGTCTCCAGCCACTGTCCAGACCCCCCCCCACCCTGTTGTCGAAACGCTTTCCTGGACGGATCACCCACATCTCTAGGGTACGGAGAGGTCATGGCAGGACTTAGACCTGACTTTTAAGGCCATTTTCTTGTTGTTTTTGGCCACCAGTTTGTCCAGGAACCTGCGGGCTCTCTTCGTCATGCTCTCCCTGCGCTTCAGGCTGGCCATCCTCCGCTCGTTGGCCTCCTTGCTGTCTCTCCGCAGCCGGATCTGCCGCACCACCCCCTCGAACAGCTCCCTGACATTGTGCTGCAGAGTGGCCGAGGTCTCGATGAACTTGCAGTCGAACACCACAGCGCACGTGCGACCCTCTGTAACACACCCAGAGCACTGCGTCAGGGACCCAGAGCCACACTGCACAGTAAACACCAGAACCCTCACTCACTCTGGGTGGGATTATGTAAAAGGATTTAGGGTAAGAACTGACGAGCGTTGGGGTAAAGAGGGGGAGTGCTGGGCGGAGGAGAGGAGGCTGGGGAGGGAGTGGGGGGCAGTGCTGGGGGTGGGGGGAGGGAGTGGGGGGCTGTGCTGGGCGATGGAGGGGAGGCTGGGGAGGGAGTGGGGGGCTGTGCTGGGCGGTGGAGGGGAGGCTGGGGAGGGAGTGGGGGGCTGTGCTGGGTGATGGAGGGAGGCTGGGGAGGGGGGGGGGGGGGCTGGGTGGGAGGGGAGGCTGGGGAGGGAGTGGGGGGCTGTGCTGGGTGGGGGGCGGGGGAGGGGCTGGGGGAGGGAGTGGGGGGCTGTGCTGGGCGGAGCGAGCACATGTGTATCTCACCCTCCACAGACACCTCTCGGCACCGCACGAGGTCGCTCTTGTTCCCCACTAAGATGATGGGGATGTTCTCCGCTTGCCTTGTCCTCCGCAGTTGGATGCGAAGCTCAGACGCGCTCTCGAAGCTCGCCCGGTCAGTGATGGAGTACACAATAACATAGGCGTTTCCCACCTGCATACAGTAATCCTGCACCCAGGGCTCCTCACCCTGGAGGGGTGGGGGGACAGGTTGGAGGGGAGAGACAACAGAGTAGATTGTAACCAGCAAGCACCATTGACAGACCCCTGGGACACCCCCTCCCCCTCTCCACACACCTGTGGTCCCTCCCCACGCTGTTCAGAACCGTAAACTGAGGTCCCGTCTGCCTTAAAGATCCCGCGGCGCTATTTGAAAAGAGGAGGGAGGGAGTTTCTCTCTCTCTCCCGGTGGCCAACAATCCCCCAAATAAAATGTGGTCACTCAACCCGCAGCTGTTTGTGGGGCGCTGCTGTGCGCAATTGGCTGCCATGTTTCATCCACAAAATATACAGTCACTATACTTTACAGTATATTCTGTGAAGCGCTTTGGCATGTCTCGAAGGCGTGATAAGGCGCTGTATCAAATGCAAGGATTGTCATGAACTTCGCTCAGGGTGGGTGGGGGGTATGTGGGATGCTTGAGGGGTGAGGGGCAATGGAGCGAGGAGGGGAGGGTAGTGGAGGGAGGGGAGCGATCCGCTGAGTGTACCTCGCTCCCCCATGTGTCCATGACTATCAGAGTCGTGTCCTCTCCATCCACGGTTAGGGTTCGCTCATAGGAATCCTCTGTAAAGAAATCATCACAAATAAAGTGAGGGAGAGGAAGCAAAACAGAGAGGGGCAGAGAAATAGAGAGGGAGAGAGAGAGAGAGAAAGAGAGAGTCTCTCTCTCTGGGGGGGTGGGTCAACGTGTTTTCAAAGAAGTGACGGCTGTTAGTCAGCCAGTCTGCCCCCCCAAACCCCAGCAAAAGTTATAATTAAATTTTAGTCATAACCCAAAGGTGCCAAAAAAAGTGTTAAAACTGTATAATAAGTGAAAGCTGTAGCCGATCCCCATCAAAATAGTCTCCATAGTGACAGCCTGGGGTCAGGGCATGGGGTGGGGGGTTGGGGAGGTCACTACACTCTGGTTTATCGTTGTTCTCATGTGTTTCCAATTTTATCCTCTGGGTCCAGAGTTGAACCCAACCCTGAGCCGCTCTACCCCGTACTCTCAATACTAATAACCCCGGCTTTCCATCCAGCTCCTCAATAGCGCGTCTCAAGGCACCAAGTGAGCCAGTATTTATCCCCCACTCCCCACACGAGCCTCCACTCTCCTTCTTTCTCTCCCCCACCCTCCCCCCCCGTACTCTCCCTCTCTCTCTTTCTCCCACTCCCCTCTCACTCGCTCGCTCCCCCTCTCCCTCACTCCGGGATCCCCACCTGCTCGCTTCCCCCCACTCCCTCGTCCACTCCCCCCCCCATCACGTCAACCCGACTTGACCCCTTGCTCCCCTTTCCCTTCTTGCTCACCCCCCCCCCCCCACCAGTGTGGTCATTTACCCTCGATGCGCTCGCTCCCCCCATTCCCGTCCCGTCCCCCCACTCATGCATGCCCCCACCCCCCAGCACGGTCTCTTACCCCCGCCGTGCTCGCTCTGAGCGTCCTGAGCTCCAGCGAAGAAGTTGGCGAGGCTGGACTTGCCCACCCCTCCATCGCCGAGTAAAACCACCCGGAATATTCCGCAGCCGGAATCGCTGGAAGCGTCGGAGGAGGAGGAGGAGGAGCTGCCGCGCTGGCCGGCGAGCGAGTAACCGAGCGGTGACGACGGCTGAGCTCGGGGAGGGCGAGCGAGAGGCTCCCAGTCGGCGGTCAGGCTGAGGACAGGGTGGGCTTGCGGGTGGGGGTGAGGGGTCCTGTGGGCCGAGGGTACAGGAGAACTGGCCCGTCTCCTCAACGAGCTGTGGCTATTGCTTCGCTGCGAGTTTAGAGTCATCTTTGAGAGGCTAATGGGAAACAAGGGAACACCAGGGATCAGATCAATAATAAATATCATAATTCACGATAATAAGAGTAATAATTAATAAGCCTCACATTCAGTGACAGTGGATCGTCTCAAAGCACATAGCAGGTATCTGCTGACATGCGTAGTGACTGTGTATTTGTGTACCTCTGTGTATTTTTTGTGTCAGCCTGGCTCTCGGTTGGTAATGCAAACACCTCTGATCATAAGGTCGTGGGTTAAACTAACGCCTTGTCAGTCCCAAAGCGCTTCACGGAATATACTGCCAAGTGAATTCATTGTGTATTTTGTGGGTGAAATGTGGCAGCAAGTTTGCCACAAACAGTCGTGGATTGAGTGACCAATTTTTTATTTGGGGCGATTGTCGGCCAGGACACTGGAGAGAGAGAGAGAGAGAGAGAGACAGAGAGGAACTCCTTTCTCTTTTCAAATAGCGCCAGGGGATCCTTGACATCCACCTGAGCAGACAGACAGGACCTCGGTTTAAAGTCTTATCCAAAGGATGGCACCTCTGACAATGCAATTCCCCCCAGGGCTGCATTACAGTGTCATCTTAGACTACGTGACTCAAAGTCCCGACGTGGGGCTTGAACCCACAAACTTCTGACTCAGAGGCGAGAGTGCTACCGCTCAAAAGCGATCCACCAATCAACTAACAACCGGGTTCCTACTACTGCAGAGGTAAGTAAACAGAGGGGTGGAGTTAAGAAACTTGGCTAAGGACCCAGTAATTGAACCCAGGTCCTCTTGCCCGAGAGGCGAGGGCGCTAACCAGTTCGCTACAGGACTCGTTAAATAAAGCTTACAATCTGGGACACGGGGGGAGAGAAACTCACAACTCTTTTCTGACAATGTTGCGGGATCTTTCAACGCCCGTCTGTACAGGGGACCCCTCGGTTTTGACTAATAATTAATTTCTCCGCTGTCTGGTGGGATTTGCAGTGACCCAGCCGCTTGGAATGCAGAGGTCCGAAACGCTGTCTGTCCGGCACCTTGGGACGTTCTCCCGATGTGAAAGGCGCTATACAAATGTTATTTTGTTGTTGTTGTTAAGAGTTAGGCTTCACCAGGGACAACAACAACAATAGCTTGCACAACCCAGCGTGCTTGATAATGCGGAGCACGATACCCCAGCCCGGGGGGGAGGGGGATAAAAAAATACCAAAATATAAATATATACAGGGATAGAGGAAGATAAAGTTTTGGGGCGCGGGTGAAAGGGCAAACTTTTATAATAGTAATAATAATCCTTATAATAATAATAATAATCCTTGCATTTGATATAGCGCTTTTCACATCAGGAGGACATCCCAAAGCGTTTCACAGAACACACTGTAAAGTGAATTGACTGTATATTTGTGGGCGAACGCGGCAGCCAATTGCACACAGCAATGTCCCACAAACAGTCGCAGATTGAAAATGACCAATTTATTATTGTTTTTGGTTTTGGAGGATTATTATTAGGCTCTGTGTGGAGTAAGGAAACTTGCCCAAGGTTTCGCCCTCTGCCTGGAATTGAACTCAGGTCTCTCACTTGCAAAGCGAGTGCTCTAACCACTGAGCTACAGGACTCCAACGTTAAGCTGACCAATTTCCATCCGGCGCCCTACACACAGCGGACAGAGAAAAACAGAGAGAAAAACAGGACAATTTTGTTTTTTCTCTCTGCTCTGACACAGACACGAAACCCACCCCCCCAGCCCCCCTCCCACCCCAAAAAAGTTTCAGCCACCCAGCAAAAGTTCTGACGAAAGTCTTGGAAAAAGATTTGACAGAAAGTGAACTGCTTCAGTGAGTAAGTAGTAAACTTATGGAACGGGCTCCCGAGGGAGACGGTGAAAGCAGAAAGTGTTGCTTGTTTCAAGAACAAAGTAGATAATAGTCATCGTTGTTATTGATAGATTTCTCCTGAAGAATACTATCTGGGAGATACAGTATATAGTTTGGGACACGACATGTTGAGCGACTGCCAGGATAGCGGAAGGCGAACTAAATGGACCGTGGTCTGCTTTCGCCAGCAAATTCTTATGGTATGAACTTGTGCGATTTGTGTCTGGATGCTCTGCCCTCCCCTCCCTCCCCGATTTCACAAACCTTTTCTTTCTTTCCCTCTTTCTTGCTCGCGTTCAGAAACCGATCGCCAGAGAATGACTGAAGTTCAGAGGAAGCTTAAATAAATGTTACTTACTGCCCAGCGCGTGAGTCCAGCCCGCTCTGTTGCCCCCTAGTCCTGATCCGCGAGTTTCTCTGTCCACACCCCGTCATCGGTCTGTTGCTCCACATCTGCTGTGACTGCTTGTTTTTTCCACTGGGAAAAGTTGTGTGTTGTGGAGCTATTGACCAGAGTTTTGTGAAGGAGGAGGGGGGTCGGGGGGGAGAGCAGGAACCACTGTGTGTGTGTGTGTGTGTGTCTGCTCCTTCAAAACATGTACAAGAGAGTCTCTTTATACACCAGCCACTGTCCGTAACGATCGGAGCAGATCAGAGCCACCGAATGTCACATCCTAGGAACGGGCAGCATGTGGCTTTGTTGTTGTAGAATTCACATCTGTCTTTAAAGGGGCAGCATCGTCTCGGAGCAGCCTTCACCATTCCAGAAGGCAGCAACAGGGGACTTGGACCCACTGCTCAGCTCCTGTCACCAGCTCTGACTGACGGAGCCCAAAGAGGAATGGATTTCAGTCTGTGCAAAAGCCACAGGGTCACTCAGAGGTGGAGCTTTCACATTGGGAAGGAGGAGCAAAGAGTAGACTGAAGATAAAGAGCTGAGCTCAGCAAAAAAGTCTGGTGGTAGCGATGTGCTTCCACTCGTCACCGTTCGTTATGTTTCAGTTTTTGCTTACTGCTTCTTTTCGTTCCCCCTCGGTCAGCCGGGTGTCTGGTACATGCGGAAACCCATCGCGGTGCTTGAAGAGATTCCAAACCAGACCGAGAATTCCATGCGTCCCACCTACTCTTAATAATAATAATCCTCGCATTTGACACAACGCCTCATCACGTCTTTGAGACGTCTCAAAGCGCTTCACAGGATACACTGTAAAGTGGAGCGACTGTGTGTTTTTGTGGACAAAACGCGGCAGCCAATTGCGCACAAAGCAATGTCCCCGCAAACAGTCATTGAGTTTGTTCTTTGACAGGAAAATATCTTTCCTCACCTCTTCAATTTTCGTAATGACGACCCTGAGTTTTCGTCCCCTCAGTACTGATTTACCATCCGGGGTAGATTAACCCCCTCCTCCCCCCATTGGAATAATAACTAACGGGAGGAACGAGCTGGTCCGCAACAAAATACGTCAGGTTTTAAACTGAGGGTAAAGAAACATAAGGAAAGTTGGGATGTTCTTGAGATAGGGAAGGGGGACTTTCCTTTAAAGCGTTGGTCTTCGAGTCTGGTGAGGCAAGAGTTAACTGCGACGCGGACAACAAAACGTGTGGGACAAGACTCCTTTATGGAACAAAGGGTAAACTTCACTCCACAAATGTTATGAGCCATCTGCTGGGGAACCCAACGTGAGGTTTGGTGCTGCCTCCTGTTGGACCGTTGGAATATTAACAGGAGGCTATTGTAAGATATTATTATGATAATAATTATTCCTTTGAATACAACAGCTTTCATGTCAGGAGGACGTCTCAAAGCGCTTCACAGGGTTTACAGTAAAGTGTAATTATATAGCGCCTTTCTCGCGGGACGCTATCCCATGTGAAGGCCGCTGCATAAGTGCAAGTTATTGTTGGAGCGACTGTGTGTTTTGGAGGCAAACACAGCACACAACTTGTACACAGCAAACTAACTTGAATTGGGTCTGTCTCTCAGCCCCCGCACCCTCACCAGTGACGTGAAGCAATTTTTTTGTACCTCTCCGACATGTTCCTCTGAGGGGGATTTACTGATGAGTCGAATGGCAGATCGCTTTCCAGGAGGTAATAATCCCTCAAAAAACTTTAAATATAATTTGGTCACTCCATCCATGACTGTTTGTGGGACACTGCTGGGTGCAATTGGTTGCCGCGTTTCACAAACAAAATACACAGTCACTCCACTTTACAGTGTATCCTGTGAAGCATTTAGAGACGTCTCAACAATGTGATAAGGTGCTGTATCAAATGCAAGGATTATTATTAATATTATGAGCCCACTTTGCGATCAATACAGGCTGAAGGTTACTGGCTTAGAACCACTGAGCTCTTACCACGACAACTTGCACTTATATAGCGCCTTTCAAGCAGGGCAGCGTCTCAGAACGTTTAACAGTGGTGGAGCCTGACTCTGAGCCGGTGTGGGTGGGGTGGGGGGAGAACGTGACCTTAAGCACAGTTGAAAAGGAAGGTTTTCAGGCTGGACTTAAAAAATGGGAGGTGGTAAGGCAGAGGGATTGAGGGAGAGTGTCCCACAGTTTGGGGGCAGAGTGGCTGAAAGCATGACTTCCATTGGTGGGGCGGAGGGTGTGAGGGATGAGCAGGAGGCCGGTGCCAGTCGAGTGGAGCCGCTGGGTGGTGGATTGGGGAGTGAGGGGGTCGGAGAGGCAGGGAGATGCCGGAGAGTAAATGGATTTGGGGTACAGAAGAAGGCCTCTCCCCACAATTTTCTAGTAGTTGCAATGAGATAGACACATCGAGGTGCCTGGGGCACTGCACGTTAATTCACTCTCCATCTCCGAGTACGATCTGAGGCAACAACTGCATCATTCATTTCAAAGTGGCCAAAACCACCATTGACCCGGTTCCAATAATTATCCAATTCCCTCCTGAAATATGGCGATGGATGCCGGATTGCCACCACTCTCGGGGCAAAACGCACCATGTTTCAAATACCGCGGCTGCCGAGGTTATGGGTTCACGTCCCCACGTCAGGGCTGCTGCACAGGTCCGAAACCTCCACGGGGTTGAGTTTCTTCCAGTGACGAGATGAACGTGCAAAATTGTCTGTCGTTTCCGTCAGGATGATCAGATTCCAGTGGAATTTCCACTGGGATGGGTGGAGGCGACAGGTGTCTAGTTCCGAACATGGTTAAATATTCACCAGCTGCGATTGTGACAGCTGCGTTCTGCACTGCTCATTAGGAACATGTCATTTAAAGCTACAGTATGTGCCAACACACTGCAAGGACCGCTTAAAAAGGACCGCTTTTCCGGGGGTAAAATAAATTGGTCACTCAATCAAACTGTTTGTGGGACACTGCTGTGCGTAATTGGCTGCTGCGTTTCACCCACAAAATATACAGTCAATTCGCTTTACAGTCTATTCTGTGAAGCGCTTTGAGACGTCTCAATGACGTGATAAGGGGCTTTATCAAATGAAAGGATTATTATTATATTGCTAAAACGATTAACTATACAACGCAAAGCAGTATTTATTCCAGTGGCGGAAACGCAACACAAGTTGACTGCCGCACTTGCTTACAATTACAGAGTCAATAATTGACAATAATCACCCGTGAAGTGATTTGAGACTTTTCAGCACTTTTGGAGTTGTACTTTGTTAGCGAGTGAGTGTTAAGGGGAGTTTAGGCATCGTCAAGTTTCAAATAAACTGAACGAGTTACAAGAACTGTGAGGTGGCCTCAACACCGACATGTCCACAAGGTGAGGTTGGTGTGTACCTCATTATGAGATATTTTGAGGTAACTCTTGGTGATTAAATGCGCTACAAGACCTTAAAAGAGGAAACAACTGAACGAGGAAGAGGTTAATATAAATTTATGATGTGGTTAACATTCAAGCCAACAGGAACTTGGGAAGTGTTTTCTTTCTCCAGCTCTTCAGTCTCTGTACAGTTACTTTCCTCGCTCACCAGCACACATATTGCCCATCTCAATATATCACTAAAATCTCTCTCTCTCGGCCCAAGTCTAACACAGCACGAGCCCCACCACTAGATCGGGAGCCACTCTTCCCTGGGGATGTCCAACACCACGTCCATGTCGGGGGTGCAGCTGTGGGCAGAGGGAAAGAACATTATAATGTCGCTCCACGGCAATCATCACATTTGCCTGCAATTCAGGCTCTACACTTGATGGTAACTATAAACTTGGGAGTCCTGTAGTGGTTAGAGCGCTTGCCTCACAAGCGAGAGGGCCGGGTTCAGCTCTAGGCAAGTTTCCTTACTCCGCATGCCACAAACCTAGCAGTAAGTAGGAATCTGTTTGTTAGTCGATTGACGGATCGCTTTCCGGAGGTAATAAACCCTCAAAAAAAAAGGATCACTCAATCCACAACTGTTCGTAGGACACTGCTGTGCGCAATTGGTTGCTCTGTTTTACCCACAAAATACAAAGTCACTCCACTTCACAACATATTTTGTGAAGAGCTTCAAGACATCTCAACACGATAAGGTGCTATATCAAATGCAAGGAGTACTATTATTATAAAACACATGGAGATGTTTGAGCCTAATCGGACTATAAAAATGCAAGCTCTTCTTTAGTAAGGACAAGTCTTTTTAGGCCTCTGTTATTCTACCTTGTAGCAGCTGGGACTGCTTTATAATCTGAAACCTGGAGAGAGACTATTTCTCTCTGTCTCTCCCCACACCCCACCCACTGTCCTCTTATACATCTCACAGTATTAACAACTGGACACAGCTGGATGAAACCGTAACCAGCCAAGTTGGGACGAACGTGGTCTCCTTTAATTAGCTTTAATAACTTGCAATGCAATGATACCATTACGACTGGTGTCACATAACTCTTACTATTATCCTGGCTTCACTGAATGTTTAGCATGGCTGGGCATGGAAGCAATAATCTGCCAATTAAATAGAGGCTTTCATTGTCTGGCTTGCAGTCTGAAACCCTGAAATTCCAGCCTCCTTTAGCCTGTGAGACCATTTGTTAACAAAATATTGAAGACTGTGCAGATCATGGAAATTCTCTTCTCTTCGTTCATTTACACAGCATCCCTCACACAGGGCAGCGTCCCAGAGCGCTTGACAGTGGCGGAGCACGACACCGAACCAGGGGGAGGAGGAAGTGACCATAGGCATGGTCGAAGAGGAAAGTCTTCAGGTGCGATCTGAAGATTGGGAAGGATGGGGCAAGGCGGAGGGATAGAGGGAGAGGGTAGTGGTTGAGAGCTGGTGGTGGAGTGGAGACTTAATTAATTAAATTAAAAATTAATTCAGTCTTAATTTGGAAGCCAGTTTTACGCAGCTCATAAAAAGACACCGTCTTCCAAAACATTCTAAATATAATAATCCTTACATTTGATATATGTCATCCAGATGTCTCAAAAGTGCTTCACAGGTAATTGCTCTCATTGCAGTGACTATAAGTAGGTACACACAACAGTCAATTTCACCACAGCAACAACTTGCATTTATATGGTGGCCTTCAAACGGATAGCCTCTCGATGTGAAAGGCTCTACGGATTCAAAGATCAAATGCAAGGATTATTATATCATGCTGGCTCAAAAGGATGGGCAATAGCAACGAGTGTTTAGATTATCTGGATTTGTACGGTCTGTATTTATCAATGCACTGTACACATTTGCTGGGTGCATCTAAGATTATCAGAGGACTGTGATACATCACTGATGATTCCATCCCCAACTCTCAAGTTACCCCTTTGCACTGCACAACAATGCATCCTCAGTCCTTCCGATCCCCTCTTTCCTCTCTTCACCCACCCCACCCACATCCCCCCCCCCCACTCCGTAAGAGACCTGGTTGAAAAGCCACGCTGCTAAAACGTACTGAGGCTCTTTTTTCAGGACGTCAGAAAAGATCTCCTTCCTGGTGTCTATCTTTGTTTCCTGCAGATGCAGCAGTTTCTTCTCCAACTCCAAATTGCTCATTTCAATCTCTTGGTTCATCTGCATGTTAATAAAGAAAAGTTCATCCATTACCAAGCTGCAAATGGTACTTTTATTTTTTTTTAAAAAATGGTCATTCTGTGTTTCATTAATAATAACTCGGTTTAATGTCTCATCCGAAGGTCAGCATCCCCAATAATGCAAAAGCAACAACAATAAATTATGTTTGTATAGCTCTTTTCAAGTCAAGAGGATGACCCAAGGTGCTGGACCATCAGGGATCCACACCCGAGTGCTGCATTGGAGCATTATTCTGAGAGTAATATTTCTCCCTTACTGAAGGGAACAGTAACGATAAGGTTATACTGTTGATGGCACAAAAAAGCAGCAAGCAATAAACCAGAAGATAGTCTCAAGATGTTAGAGTCAAGGTTGGGATGTACACTGTTAGAATGTGAATAACAATCTTTGCATTTGATACAGCGCCTTATCAAGCCTTTGAGACGTCTCAAAGCGCTTCTCAGAAAACACTGCAAAGATGACCTTGTGTTTTGTGTGCGGTAGTCAATTGTGCACAGCAGTGTCCCACAAACAGTCGTGGATTGAGCAACTACTCAATCCACAGGCTATAGTCTGTAAAGCGCTTTGAGACGTCTCAATGATGTGATAAGAAGCTATATCAAATGCAAGGATTATTATTATTGGTTTCAATAAACTTAATGTATTTGCAATGTCAGACCCACAACGGACACTCTCCCTCCCTCTAACCTCCCTCTGAACTCTTCCAAGGGCTGATGAAGGGGATGGTGTCCATGTACAGAGTCTGGCATTTTCTACACTCACCTCTTTGTGAATCTCGATTTCTTTTTTCATGACAGCATTGTGGAAAAGCAGCTGCTGCAATCCTGAAGGGATGAAGCGAATTTTATCCTGCAAAAGAAAAAAGATGAATTTTTAACCAATTAAAGCGCAATGAAAGTTTGTATAAGCGGTTATTAAAGGTAATTTTTTAAAAAAAAGACTAATTAAATTATAACCCTTCTTCTACGCTGAGGAATTTCATCAGCTTTGATGTTTCCTGCTGAGGAGATCAGGGAGACAGACACACGTTGAGCTATCCATACTTCGGATGGGACGTTTAAACCAAGGTTCAGCTAAATTTTAATAATAAAGATCCTATGGTAGTTGTTTTGAAAACAAAAGAGTTTCTCCCAGTATCCTGGCCAACAATCCTCCAAATTAAATAAAACAATGTGGCAGCCAATTGCTGCCACATTTCTTTTTAAGGGATTATTACCCCCGGAAAGCGATCCGCAAATCGACTAACAACCAGGTTCCTTCTTACTGATAGGTAAACAGAGGCATCTGAGTACGGAAATTTGCCTAAAGTTTCACCCCGCCCGGGAATTGAACCCGGGTCCTCTCGCTTGCAAGGCAAGCACTGTAACCACTACACCTCAAGACTCCAACTTTACATTTTAACTAACCTTTGCCACCTTGATTAATATTTCTTCCTCTGTTTCTTTCACCGTGGCTTCCAACTTTCTCATTTCAGTCTGTGCGAAGCCCTCCACCTCCTCACGTTCGGCCTGTCAGATGCCAACAAAGATGACGTTACTTTATACACTGGAGGCCACTGTCCCTCCGCAGAATGCCGTGAAATAGAACCCAACATCGCTGAAGATCAAACTCCCCCCACAGTACAATGGCACCTCTGTTCAAACCACAACCATTTGTCTGGTGTTGTCTGTCAACCCAGAACACAAACGCTCACAAGAGACAGTGAATCAATCTGCCCCACAAAGCTCACCTCGATGCTCTGATACACAAGGCAAACTGGCGAGAGCGTGTTTCGGTATCACCGGAGCCCCTCGATGTGCTTCACAGTGTGACAACAGAAAGTAAGCAAAGCCTTGTCTTTACCAAATAAGATTTGTGGATGATTCTTCATTTGTGTCAATCAATATTTCATATGTGAAGCAGAACACGTGGAACATAGTTTGGGACACGACATGCGCAAGCGACTGCCAGGATGGTGGGTGGCGAACTAGATGGTCCTTGGTCTTCTTTCGCCAAGCAATTCTTATGTGGCTTAGAAGTGTAGAAAAGGTTTATAGGTGGAGTGTGGAAAGTGGGGGAGGGGGAGAGAGAGAATGTCATTGTATTCATACCAAAGAGATGAATTACTGCTGATTTTTATGACATTGGTCTGAAGTTTATTTTCTACTAAAATCTAAATGATTTGCCACTTGAACTCATATTAGGTTAAACATTTGCCTGTTGAACCCTCTCAACGTGTTGCTTTTCTCAGATATTGCTGTTTTGGAGTTCGTCACTTTCACAGCTTATGAGCACAAGATGAAAGCACGTTTAGTTTCCCTACAGACAGAATCAGCCGACTGCCATCAGCGTCTCTCTCTCTCCGATGGCAGGATTGATGTCACTCTAATCGGCTTTGCCCCAATCAAAACGACTTTCATTGTAGTCAGGAGATTGGGTCATAGCTGGAGCACAGCTGAGCCCCAGGCAAGGGGGTTAAATGAACACTGCTTGTAATAAATTCTTTAAAGACTCATGTGGCACGAGCTGAACAGTGTGGAAATTAAAGACACTGGGTTACCAGACACAGGATATAGCATGTCTGACCCTGTTACCCTGTTTCCAGCCTGGGCAATGAAAGGAACTCGATCAATCATGCGCTAGGAATCAATAGGCATGTGCTTCACGTGTTCTCTCTATAAGGGATGGAAAATATGGATTCATTACAGCAACAGATCATAGTATGGTTCCCATTGTTTCACAACAAATGGGGGAGAGGATAGGGTCATTTTACCTGCTGTATTTGTGGAAGTTTCTTAACCTCTCGCTGGAGTTCCGCGATTCTCAAGGCGTTTACAGGGAATTCCTTGTCCTTATAAGTCTTCAGTGTGCGAAGTTCCTGACGAGCTTTCTGAATCTTTGCATTCACTTCTTGCATTTTATCTTCTATCTCTTTAAGACACAGAAGCACACCCGGCAACAGATTTGTTCAGCCTCTTGTTCTCAAAAAGAAAACGAAAACAAAGTGAATAATGTTGAGAAATGACTTTGTTGAGAAAATTATAATATATAATAGTAATCCTTGCACTTGATATAGCACCTTATCATGTCATTGAGACGTTTCAAAGCGCTTCACAGAATATACTGTAACGTGAATTGACTGTATATTTTGGGGGCGAAACGCAGCCGCCAATTGTGCACAGCAGCGTCCCGCAAACAGTCGTGTTTATAAATTAATTATATTTTATTATTATTCAGTTTATTATTATTACTAATTCATTTTTATTACAAAGCCCAACTGAGAGAGAAATTAACACATATCAGAAACAACAATAATAAAAAGCAAAATACAGCAAATGCTGGAGATCTGAAATAAAAACAGAAGTCGCTGGGAACACACAGCAGGTCAGGCAGTGTCTATGAGCTCTGATGAAAAGTCATCGACCTGAAACGTTAACTCACTTTCCTCTCTCCATAGATGCTGCCTGACCTGCTGCGTGTTCCCAATGACTTGTTTTCATTTCAGAGAGAACAATTATTGAAGTCGGTGGGGTCTTGTAGCTCAGTGGTTAGAGCACTCACCTCGCAAGTGAGAGACCAGGGTTCAATTCCCGCCAGGTCGAAACCGTGGGCAAGTTTCCTTATTCCACACGCCTGATAATAATCCCACAAGAAAGCAAAATAATAATTTGGTCAGTCAATCCTTGACTGTTTGTGGGACACTGCTGTACGCAATTGGCTGCCGCGTTTCGCCCACAAACATACATTCACTTTACAGGATATACTGTGAAGCGCTTTGAGACGTCCCGAAGACGTGAAAAGCTCTATATCAAATGCAAAGATTATTATATATCATATTATTGAAGCATCCTTGGTCAATGCAGGTTTTTCAATTTAGCTACTGCGCTCACTAACTCTTCCAGGCTAGAATACTGGAGGCCTGAAATTTCACCTCGGCTTAGCCCGCGAAACCATTGTGTCTTATCATATAACATAGTGGTCCAACTGGCGGGTCGATTTCATCTGACCCCCCCGCCCACCCCGCCCCCCCTCCATTTCATCTGGCCCACTCGCTCCTGCCATAACCCTAAATTTTATGTTATGTGTCTGGAAGGGAAACACAAAATATTGCTTATCCAGCCCAGGGACGTTTCTCGCCGTGTAAGATTTATGTGAGAATTCTTGGGAATCAATCTTAACCTGTAAATCGTCTTCCAGGCCAGTGGCAGAAACTTTGATAAATATTCTTCATGATAAAGAAATAAATTCAGAACCTAAACAGCTGTGTGCTGACCTTTGAGGTTTTCCGCCACCATTTTCTCAGTTGCTTCAAAGTCAGATTTGGCCGATTCAATATCCTGCCGCTCCCACTCCCCAATGCCTGAAATTCCAATCTTACAATTCAAAATGAAAGCAGAAAAATTACGATGACTGAGTGATAAAATAATACTAATCCTTGCATTTGATATAGCGCCTCATCACGTCGCCAAGATGTGTCAAAGCACTTCACAGAATATACTGAAAAGTGTAGTGACTGTGTGATGCTGGAGATGAGCAAATAATTATATTTACAACAAAAACAACAATTTGTATTTATAAAGTGCCTTTCACAAATGTCCCAAGGTGCTCGACAGACCTGGACTTTATCCTCAGCCCTCTCCCTTTCAATATCTACACGTGTGCCCACTTGGGCAATGTCACCCACAGGCATGGGGTTAAACCTCCACATGAATGCAGATATCACCCAACTTTATCTCTCTGGCCCCACCCTTGATTTTGAGTACCACTGCTGCACTAAGCAATTGGAGTGAGAAGTTCATCTTGCTGCTCATGGCTCTGATAGAGGGCCACAGATGAAATTGTAGCCTTGTTTTTTCTCCACCGGTGAGAGGGCTGACGCGCTCTGCGTGACCTGATGTGGATTTCCAATTACAGCGCATTGTCAGCCACATACCCTAAGCTTCTCATATTGCACCAGAAGGTGTCTTGCATCCATCATGGCAGCATCGTCTGACATGGTGATCTCCTTGGTCTTCTTGATGTTCATTTCCTTGAGGATGGAGCAGTGCTGCTCGTATTCTGTCATCTCCTTCTTCTTTGCCAATATGAGATACTGTGAAACACAAACACACCTTTTTGGGCTGGTGGATCCCACAACGACTTACATTGATTATAAGATGTCTGTGAGACGCTGCACGCTCCTCCACAAATATTACACATTGGAACAAAGACCCAACAACAAACAACAACAAATTACAGTTGTATAGCACCTTTCATGTCGGAAGGACGTCCCAAGGTGCTGGTTGCATTGTCTACATTAGTTTCCCACATCCAAATACCTGCCTCTCACACTCACACAATCTGGAATTGTACAGTTTCTATGCAGCCTACTTTTAGTTTCCATTTACTTGTCATATCTTCCTTTAAAATACTACAAGTTAATTTGAACAGTAAAGTTGTACTTACCTTAAGAATTTTGACTTTTTGTTTCACGTCAAGCAGGCAAACGTCATCACTTCTCAAGATTCTCTTCTTACTCCACGCATGACTACATTGCAGTGAGCACAGTTTAGAAGTACATACCTGCGTACCTAAAATGGACCGAATAACATAAGATTTTGCTGGCAAAAGAAGACCAAGGTCCACACAGTTCGCCTTCCACCATCCTAGCAGTCGCTTAACATGTCATGTCCCAAACTATATACTGTATCCCGAGATATTATTTTCTAGCAGAAATCTAATTTGTTCTTGAAACAAATGACACTTTCAGCTTCCACCGTCTCCCTATGGAGTCTGTTCCATAAGTTTACTACTTGCTCTCTGAACTATTGTCTCTGCAAATTTGTACTGAATTTATCTCTCTTCAATCGCAGGCCAAGTCCTCAACAAAATGCGTTGAAAATAATAAATTATTCTTTTTGTATTGAATCATGTAACGCATTGGCTATTGATCAACCTGGAGTCCGTTCGAAGGCAATAACACATGGAGGTGTTTAAGAGGATTTTAGGTACTGTAATTTCTTTTATCTTGTACTTTGCGAACATCAAGGTGTTACTATGATACACAGTTTGACACTTCCTTCTTCCTGCACTGGCTACCCGGCACACAGCTCCCAGCAACTGATGGAAACGCTCTCGCGAGCTTGTTTGCAAGAGTGACATATCAACCCAGAATCGCTGACCAGCAGTCATTTCTGTAGCCTGACTTTATGGACCCCGACCACTATGACACCAACAACTTGCTCAGGGTAGCGCCCCAGAATGCTTGAGAATGGCGAACCTTGGGGGAGGTGACTGTAGGCACGGTCGAAGAGGAAGATCTTCAGGTGCAACCTGAAGATGAGGAAGGAGGGGGCGAGGCAGAGGGAATGAGGAAGAGTGTTCCAGAGTTTTGGGATGTAGTGGCCACCAATGGTGGAACGGAGGGTATGAGGGACATGCAGGTGGCTGGAGCCAGTCGAGCGGAGAATAACTGATTGGGAGTATCGGAGAATGGGGAGTAAAAGCCGGAGGATTTTATGGGGGCGAGGCAGCCAAAGTGAGCGCACGGAACATTATGTTGTAATGGAGTCAGACTATAACGCTGATCGAGCAGAAGGATTTAAAATAAAATGACATTTAATTTAGTAGCGGAGGTTAGCAGCACATCCAGTTCATGTTTATTTCAGCAGGACATCAGTGCAAACTGAATATATGATGGGCAGCCCAGGGAAGACGAGAATTTCTCTTGTCTTAACAGCAGTTTTAAGGGTTAAAAATTACCTTCTAATTTTTTCTGGTCTTGTGGAGTAGATATGAATACTGCTGATTTTCGCTTGTCTTTCTTCAGAAGCTTCAAGTGTCTTCTTAAGGCTCCTGGTGACCACCGGATAGGGGGAAATGACATGTTGGTTGTATCAAACTCCTTTTCATTCTCCTGTTTGGCTGTTCTCTCCCAGGGGCTGTAATCCTATTAGCAGCAAAACAATTTAGAGGAAGATTTCTTAACAGAATTAATTTAAAATATTATATGAAGTGTAAAGAAGCTTCACTTCTTTATAAAGCCCACGACAAACTGTTTTTTTTTGTCAGCTGGGTGTTTGACACATGTGGAAACTCATCACCATTCTTAAGAGTATCCAAACCAAACTGAGAATTCCATGCATCCCACCTACACATGGAAATTCCAAGCTTTTTGAAAGATACTTTATTAGAAATGGTTTAAAGAATAAACAACTGTGGAAGAGAAGAAAAGAATCATTTGTATGGAAAATATTCCAAGCGAGAGACCTGGGTTTGATTCCCGGCAGAGCAAAACCTTGGGCAAGTTTCCTTACTCCACACACTCGCCTGCTAATCATCCCTCAAAAAAAATGGTCACTTCAATCCACGACTGTTTGTGGGACACTGCTGTGCACAATTGACTGCCACATTACCCCACAAATATACAGTACAATTCACTTTACAGTCTATTCTGTGAAGCGCTTTGAGACGTCTTGAAGACCTGAAAAGCGCTTTATCAAATGCAAGGATTATTATTTATTATCCCTATGGAGTATTCCACCTGTGGAGCTCACCCCAGTGAATCATAATATTTTACAGCACATAATTCACATTTTATGTAAAGACGATGTGATAAGACGCTATATCAAAGGTAAAAATAGTTATTATTATTAAAGAAGTTACTCCTAAATTCCTCTTTTGATCTGCTTCTGTCTCCCTTGTATTTCTGCCCCTCACTTGGACTCACCAACAACTCCACCTTATCAAACGCTTTCATAATCTTAAAAACTTCTATCACGTTCCCACTCATTCTTTGTACCATCCCTGTAAATCTTCACCGCGCTCTCGCCAATGATACAATATCTTCTCTGTAATATGGTGACTAGAACTGCACACCATACTCCGAATGTGTCCCCACCCTTTGAAACTCCATCCTTCATTCCCTTCGCCTCGTTCCCTCTCTTGCCTCCTTCAAGGCATGTCTCAAAACCCTCCTCTTCAGCCACTCTCCCTGCTCTCCATCTTCCCCGATCCCGACACCCAGCTCGGATCCAAATCCAGTGCCTTGGGACGTCCTCCCAATGTGAAAGGCGCTATACAAATGTAATTTTGTATTGTAATACATAAATTTAACATGATTTCCTTACTTTTGTAATCTATTCCTCTGGACATAAAGCCAAAGATTGTTTGCATTCTGTGTCCTTGTTCACCTGTGCAGCTACTTTTAGAACCACTTTTAAATGTTACGAAACTAAGTGCTTCTGGGCACTAATACTTACCATTAGATGAAATTCTCTTTCTAAGGATTTCACTAAGCTGTGCTCGGTCTCAGGTTTGCTTTCAGATAACCAGCCATCCTTGTTCCATGGACCCTATGGATAACGTGGCAAATAAGAGATCTAAGATTCCACCCTCCCTGCCCTCCACCCCTCCTGATCCCAACTCCCAGCTCAGGTGCAAATCCTTGACTGTCCAGCATTTTGGGACGTTCTCCCGACATGAAAGGCGTCGCATAAATGTAACTTGTTGTTGTTGTAAAGAAACTAACTTATGTTAGTTTTATGTGTGTGAATGTGGATGTGTGTCTGGGGTTGCGTTAGGGAGCATGTCTGTGTTTGAGGTTGTGTGAGGGTGTTTGTGAGAGGTTGAGTCAAGATGTGTGTGTTTATTGAAGGGGGTGTGTCAGGGGTTATATGAGGGTGTGAGGGGAGGAGGAGATTGTGCTAGGGTGTGTGAGGGGTTGTGGCAGGGTGTTTGTGGGAGAGTATATGTCAGTGGTTCTGTGAGAGTGTGTGTTTGAGGGTTGTGTCTGAGTGTAGATTTATGTGTGTGTGATGGGTTATGTGAGGGTGTTTGAGGATGTGTGTCCAGGAAGGGGATGAGGGCTTGTTAGGGTGTGTGTGTGTGATGGGTTATGTGAGGGCGTGTGTCAGGGTGTGTAAGGGGTTGTGTCAGGGTGTGGGTCGGGGGTGTGAGGGGTTGTGTCAGGGTGTATGTCGGGGGGTGTGAGGGGTTGTGTGTCGGGGGGGGTTTGAGGGGCTGTGTCAGGGTGTGTGTCGGGGGGATGTGAGGGGTTGTGTCAGGGTGTGTGTCGGGGGGGGGGTGTGAGGGGTTGTGTCAGGGTGTGTGTCGGGGGGTGTGTGTGAGGGGTTGTGTCAGGGTGTGTGTCGGGGGGTGTGTGTGAGGGGTTGTGTCAGGGTGTGTGTCGGGGGGTGTGTGAGGGGTTGTGTCAGGGTGTGTGTCGTGGGGGGTGTGAGGCGCCTCTGTTGACTGTTGCTATGGAAACCCAGGGCCCAGGCATTGAGGCCTCCCCCAAAGCCCGGGCCTGCGGCTCCAGCCTCCCCTGATGAGCGGGCGGGCGGCAGTCACCTGACCCTGGCTCTGGCCGTGAGCCTCGATGGGGCTCAGGCCGCCCCGGGCCCCGCTCTCTGGGTTTCGCTCCATCCACCCGCCGGGTCCCGGTGTCGAACCAAGTGTCTGCGCATGCGCTGTCCCACGGGAGGCTGATGCGGGTGGCGGCTGTGCGCATGCGCGCTCTGCGGGCCTCCTGCGCCAGGTCGGCCCGGTTTCACGCCCGATCGGGCGGGTTTCGTGTTGGGCTGTGAAACACGGCCTTTGCTGATTATTTCAGAATAATTATCACGATTCTCAATAATAACAATAATTAATAATAATAATTAATCATATTATATTAATTAATAATAATTATCAGCTGCTCACAGGCGGGGCATGACGTCAGGACTATGCAAATTTGATGACGGTGGGTAATCGGCCAACGTCCATCCTCCCTACCAACAAAACGCGGAATAAAGCGCGTTTGAAATGATATTAGAAAGAAAAGTAAATGTGGAACACGGTCAAATGTTGTGATCGTTCTATCTCAAATGCAATGATGGTGCTTATGATGATTATTATTCTATCAGGATTCACTGTAACTCAAAGGGGGACCGTTCGTCACGAGGTGGGAGGGGTTTGCGGACGGTGTTTTTACGGAGTGTTTCGAGCGTCTCTGAGCTGAGAAACGCGGGTGTGAAGGTGCGCGGCTCTCGCCGACCGCGAGGAGGCGGCAGAGCAGAGCGGAGCGGAGCGGTCGCTGCCCGGTGTCGGGCCCCGCGGTGTGGGCTGTGCCGGTGGTGCGCCGTTGACGGCCGCCGCTCCTGTGTCTGAGGGACTGCGTTCTGAGAGGTTAACCCCCTGAATAACTCAACGAGAGAGCGAGTGGAGGCCATTCAGCCCCTCCAGTCCGTTCCTCCATTTAGTTACATCGTCAACTAACCCTTTCGATTCCAATGTCTCACTTTCTCCTCATATCCCTTTATCCCCACACCCACCCTGCATCCCCCACACCCCCACCCCCACACACCCCCACCCCCCCACATCCCCCCACCCACACACCCACCCACATCCCCACACACCCACCCACACCCCCCCCACCCTGCACCCCCCCACACACCCCCCCACACCCACAGCCCCCCACACCCACAGCCCCCGACACCCCCACACCCACACCCCCACCCACCCCCTACCCCACACACACACACACACCACACACACCCCCCTACCCCACACCCCCCCACACACCCACACACACACCACCCCACATCCACAACCCCACACACCCCCTACCCCACACCCCCACACAGCCCCCACCCACAGCCCCCACCCCACACAGGGCGTAATGAAAGAAGGTGGCGAACCCATGCGAAAGGCACGCATCCACCTGAGGCTCACTCACCCCCTCCCTCACCCACTCACTCACTCCCTCCCTCACTCACTGCCGCCCTCACCCACTCACCCACCCCCTCCCTCCCTCACCCACTCCCTCACTGCCGCCCTCACCCCCTCCCTCCCTCACCCACTCACCCACCCCCTCCCTCCCTCCCTCACCCACTCCCTCACTGCCGCCCTCACCCCCTCCCTCCCTCACCCACTCACTCCCTCACTCACTGCCGCCCTTTATAATAAGGGATCGATGCTACATATCCCGGAAAGCATTAGGGGTGAAGTTGGTAGATTCGCTTTTGGAACAGTATTGATATAGCGCCTGAAGCGCCACGTGATAAGGCACTATAACAAACGCAAGGATTATTATTAACAATAATATTAATATATTATAAATTGAATAATGTTTATTATAATAATAATGAATTATAGCGATGACAATCATGATACAGGGCCTTATCACTTTGTCGAGGCGTCTCAAAGCGCTTCACAGGATATACTGTAAAGTGAATTGACTGTATATTTTGTGAGCGAAACGCGACAGCCAATTGCGCACAGCAATGTCCCCACAAACACTATTTTAAAAAAGCTAAATATAAAATACTGGGCTTGACATTTTTGAGTTTCTTTTTGACATGAGACACAAAACTGCAACGACACGTTTGCATTTACATAGCGCCCAACTGCTAGTTCTTTCCTTTTCCTTATCTTTGTCTCCTTCTTTTACATCGGTAGACAAAAAAACAGCGCACGGCCATCTATTAAGCTCACAAATGCATTTAACAGTGGCACCGCTATTGTGCTGGTTGCTTAGCGATTTTGCACGAACATCCGTGCCTTTTACTCAATAAGTAAATCCCTACATTGATACAGAGCCCTGTCACAATGTCAAACATTTCACAGGATTTTGCTGTCCAATGCAACGACTGTGTATTTGGACGAAAGAGATTTGCTGAGAAATTGTCAACGGGCAATAAAGCACTCAGTGAAACCAGCTCAGCAACCAGGCAGGGATGTCCAGACCAACAATCATTCCCCCAAATAAAACAGTTCACTCACTTCCCGCCTGTGTGTCAGACATTGTTAGGAATAAGGAATTCGGGCATAGGAATTCCTAGACGAAAAAAGACCAAGATCCATCAAGTTCACCTTCTACCACACAATACAATACAAAATTACATTTGTACAGCGCCTTTCACATCGGGAGAACGTCCCATGGCACTGGACAGTCAGGGATTTGGACCCAAGCTGGGGGTCGGTATCGGGCAGGGTGGAGGGCAGGGAGGGTAGGAGGATGACCTGAGGCGTGGTCAAAGAGGAGGGTCTTGAGATGGGTCTTGAAGGAGACAAGAGAGGGGGTGAGGCAGATAGACTGTGTGATAGATTTACAGAAGGTGGGGGCACAGAGGCTGAAGGCCCGCCCGCCAATGGTGGGGTGGGCAAGGCCCACTGAGCGGAGGGAGCGGACAGGTTGGTAGGGGGTTAGGAGGTCAGAAAGGTAGAGAGGAGCGAGGCCGTGGAGGGCTTTGAAGGTGAGGACCAGGATCTTGAATTGTAGTCGCATACGATAATAATGGAGATGTTGATAGCAATTAATTCTATCTGTATGGATTAGTCAGTGGAAAGTTTTGGGAACCTTAGATCCAAAGTTGCCTGGTTCTTGCAAGCATATTGCATGTGTCATGCCTCAAATTACTAATATACTATATCCCCAAATATTAATTGTTTTGTGAAAATTACCTACAAAACACTCAATCACTACACTTTACAGTAGAAGTCCGGCAAAACGATTTGAGATGTCCTTCAGGCATGAAAAGCGCTGTGTGAAACGCAAAGATTATTATTTATTACAGTTCTACACTCCCATTTTCGCCCACAAAATACACAGTCACTGCACTTTATAGGTTATTCTGTGAAGCGATTTGAGACGTCTCAACTATGCGATAAGGCGCTGTATCAAACACAAGGATTGTTGCTATTATTATTATAAACATTCCCATTTTCCCTGGTAAACTTTACGTACAAAACCAGACCACCACCACCAAAATCACATTTGTATAGCACCTTTCACGTCGGGAGGACATTCCAAGGCACTGGACAGACAGAGTTACGGACCCTGTAGAGGAAGAGGAAACTAAGAATGAAGAGCCTGATAAACAGGGTGAGACACCTTTCTTTATTGCCCTCAATGAACATTTCTTTCCCTCACCCCTGAAACTGCCAACATTGTCGCAGAGATGTTTGACCGAACCTGCTGAAGTACTTGAGCTGAATTTATTATTGGTTAGTAGATTGCAATTTTTTGGGGACGTGTTTCTCCGTTTTGTCTCCTCAGTCAAATATGCTGATGACACTCACCGTCACTCACTCCCAATGTGGATTAAGGCCACTTGGCGTGAGACTATCAAAGAGGCTGTGGGACTCTTGCCCTTCCCTCTCTCTCCCTCCCTCCCTCCCTGCACTGGAGTTGAACTCCTTGAAGGAAAGGAGGGAATTGGTGGGAAGATGACTGGTGAGATGAGGTTGGATGGGAATCAGTCACTTGTTAAATATTATCATCTATGTGATGCTTCGGAACAGCACTTCTTAATAGGAAACCTGACTCCTTCTGATAAATGGAAGGAAATGGCTGTTGGAGGGCGCGGATGGAGTTGGGGGCGGGGGGGGGGAGGGTTTGGGGTTGAGAGGAAAGGCAAGACGGAGGGACTACTAACCGGGGAGCTCTTTCAGAAAACCAGCAAAAGAATAATGGGCCGAATGGCCTCCTTTCTGTGCTGCAAATTTCCACAGTTGTGCAGAGTTCCTGCGGTTTGGGCTGAGGTACACCCTTACAGAGGAATCCAATCAGAGATCGTACTGGATTACCCTCACCCCCATCTCCCCCAACACGAGTTGGCTTGGAAAACTCCTGAAAGTAACGCAAAGCCAGTAAGGTTGGGAGTGGGAGGGTGTGTGCGTGTGGGGGTCGGGAGGCAGATCAGTGTTGTTGTTCCAGTGTTGTGGTGGGGCGGAGGGTGGGTGATGTTGGTGGGGCTGAGGGGTGGGGGTGTCTCTAGCCTTCAGTCTGGCCCCTATGTGGGTCCTTGATGCCTTTGTTAGCAGGCGGTGCTGAATTCCATGCGAGCCACCAGCTCAGTGATCAGCCTCTGCAGCAACGCCGCTCTCTTCTGACTGATCTCCAGCACTGCGGCGTGGCCAGGCACCTCCTCACGGCCGTACTCCTTCACCACTTCGTTGGTGATCAGAGAGAGTCCGAACACCCGCATGCCACAGTGCCTCGCCACCACCACCTCTGGGGCCGTGCTCATCCCTGCCGGGTTAGACATTCATTAGTCAGTAACAATAATAATCCTTGCACGTGGAGTCCTGTAGCGCAGTGGTTAGAGCCCTCACCTCGCAAGCGAGAGGACCTGGGTTCGATTCCCAGGCCGGGCGAAACCTTAGGGAAGGTTCCTTACTCCACACACACGCACACACACTTCTGTTTACCCAGCAGTAGGAATTCGGCCGTTAGGCAATTAGCGGTTTGCTTTCCCGTTATTGTTAGTTATTGTTGTTGCCGCAATGGGAAAAGCAGAGGACAAGACAGTGGAGGGAATTGGAGACCAGATAAAGGATCTATTAAACTCTACAGAACAAAGGCACGTACCCACAGCATCGACTCCCAGCTTGTGGAGCAAACAGGCTTCAGCTGGTGTCTCAAAAGTTGGACCGCCCAGCATGCAGTACACCCCCTCGTGCATGATGTTTGAGCAACCCAGCTCCTTACTGAGGTCCATGGTCAACTTACAGAGACCTCGGTCGTAGGCATCGGACATGGAGGGGAACCGGGTACCAAACCTGCAACAACAACAATTATGGCACTTGAAGACAGAGAACAGGATGTTAAACTCTGCAAAGTTGGACTTCTAATAATCTTTGCATTTGATACAGCGCCTTCGAGACGTCTCAAAGCGCTTCCCAGCATACACTGTAAAGTAAGTTGACTGTATTTTGTGAGCAAAACGCGGCAGCCATTTGCACACAGCAGCGTCCCCACAAACAGCCGTGGAATGAGCGACCACATTATTATTTTTTTTTGAAGGAATTATTAACCCCGGAAAAACAATCCACCAATCGACTAACAACCGGGTTCCTACTGGTGGGTGCAGAGCAGCAGATACCAGATACCGGAGGAGTCAACAGACCTCATCGACGGTGAAAGAACTCGCCTCACAGGACCCGGGTCAATTCCCGGGCAGGGCGAAACCTTAGTCAAGTTTCTTTATTCCACACGCGTCTGTTTACCAGCAGTAAGTAGGAACCCGGTTGTTAGTCGATTGGCGGATCACTTTCCAGGGGTAATAAATCCTTCAAAAATAACAATAATAATAAATTGGTCACTCAATCCACGACTATTTGTGGGGCACTGCTGTGTGCAATTGTCTGCTGCATTTTGCCCCCAAAACACACAGTCACTCCATTCTACAGTGTATTCTGCGAAGAGCTGAGACATCTCGGAGACGTGATAAGGCACTGTATCAAATGCCAGGATTATTATTATAATTATTATTATCAAATAAGAATGTAAGCATTTTCTGGCAAAAGAAGACCAAGGTCCACACAGTTCGCCTTCCGCCATCCTGACAGTCGCTTGACATGTCGTGTCCCAATCTATACACTGTATCGGGAGATATTATTTTCCAATGGAAATCTATCTAATGGAAGTATTATTATTAATGTCATCTCTTACCACGAGTGAGCGGAGGACAAGAGCAATCTGATCAGTGGCCACGTACCGTTCGTCATTGGGCCCACACAGTGGGTGCTGTCCGCTGAAGCCGGGCACATTAATGTGGTCCTTGATGACCATGATGTCCCCGGTCTTGTAGCCATCGGCGATTGAGCCGGCGGCATTAGTAACTATCAGGATTTCCACACCCAGCAATCTGAACACCCGGACAGGAAACGTCACCTTGGATACGGGAGGGAAGGGGAGAGGTGGGGAAGAGAGGTATGGATTAGTCCTGGTCAGAGGTTTCTCAGTTTCACAGCTAAATCGCAACTTGCAAAACACCCGCGAAAATAACAACAACTTGCACTTATATAGCGCCCTCCACGCAGGGCAGTGTCTCAGAGCGCTTCACAGCGCCGAAGCCAGACTCCGAGCCGGGGCTGGGAGGCGGGAGGGGGGTATGAGGTGGCTGTAAGCACTGGTCGAAGAGGAATGTTTTCAGGCAGAACAGGTGGGCAAGGTGGAGGGATTGAGGGAGAATGTTCCAGAGTTTTGAGGCAATGTGGATGAAAGCACGACCTCCGACGGTGTGGCAGAGGGTGCAAAGGACGAGCAGGAGGCTTTTTTTAAAAAGGATTTATAATAATAATACCTGCATTTGATCCCGAGTCTTTTCAAGTCTTCAGGACGTCTCAATGCACTTCACAGAATAATAATAATAATAATAATCCTTGCATTTGATATAGGGCTTTTCACGTCTTCTAGACGTCTCAAAGCGTTTCACAGAATATGCTGTAAAGTGAATTGACCATATATTTGTGGGCAAAACTCGGCATCCAATTGCACACAGCAGCGTCCCACAAGCAGTCGTGGATTGAGTGACTAAATTATTATTTTTCGCCCTGCCCAGGAATCGAACCCGGGTCCTCTCGCTTGCGAGGCGAGTGCTCTAACCACTGAGCTACAGAACTCCACAAATGTATATGTATATAATAATGATAATAAAAGAATTGCATTATTACAGCCCCTATAATTTTGAAATGCTGCATGAAAGATTTGTAGGCAACTGCAGCAAAAATACAGTAAAACACAACAACAATGTGGGAAAAACGCAACAAATGGACCAACTGGAGGAAAACGAGAGTTCCTCTGTGAGGAATGGATTCCCTTCAAACTTGTTCAGTGAACAATGTGTGGTTGCATTGTTGAATTACCTTGGCAAGACTGTAACCTTCATACATGTGGAAACGGCCTTGCATGCACACACATGGCTTCCCTCTCAGATCCCCAAACACCAGTCTGCCAGCGTGGCCTTGAACTGGGCAAAGCGAGAGAGACAGAGCGAGAGAGCGAACAAGCGAGAACGTGAGAGAGCGAGAAAGCGAGAGAGAGAAAGAGATAGAGAGAGCGAGAGAGAGAGCGAGAGAGAGAGCGAGCAAGAGAGAGAGAGAGAGAGCAAGAGAGAAAGAGAGCAAGAACGAGAGAGAATTAATAATAATAATAATAAATCTTGCATTTGATATAGCGCATTATCACATTTTTGAGACGTCTCAAAGTGCTTCACAGAATATATTGTGAAGTGAATTGAATGCAGCAGCGTCCCACAAACAGTCGTGGATCGAGCGACTACGTTTTTTCTGTTGAAGGGATTATTATCCCTGAAACGTGATTCTCCAGTCGACTAACAACTGGGTTCCTACTTACTGCCGGGAAAACAGAGGGGTGTGTGGGGACTAAGGAAACTTGCCTATGGTTTTGCCCCACCCAGGAATAATAATAATATAATAATAATCCTCGCATTTGATATAGCGCTCTTTACGTCTTCTAGACGTCCCAAAGCGCTTCACAGAATATACTGTATAGTGAATTGACTGTATATTTGTGGGCGAACGCGGCAGCCAATTGCGCACAGCAATGTCCCACAAACAGTCATGGATTGAAAATGACCAATTTATTATTTTTTTTTTGGAGGGATTATTATTAGGCTCTGTGTGGAGTAAGGAAACTTGCCCAAGGTTTCGCCCGCTGTCTGGAATCAAACCCAGGTCCTCTTTCTTGCAAGGCGAGCGCTCAAACCACTACACTACAGGATTCCACCAAAGGGGGAAAGAAAGGGCTTCGCTACCTGTGCTCTGTGGGAAGTTGGGAATGTTGGCGTATTTGAAGGATTCCTGATTTTGGAGTGCCTCAGCCAGCAGTCCCAGTCCAGAGCCGCAGATTATCCCAACCTTCGGCCGGTGTTTGGTGCTGGCCAGCAGCCAGTCCGCAGTCTCCTGGTACGTCTCGTAACTGCAGAGAGAAATACTGTCTGTTACAGGGTAGTCTGGTAGCAGAGTGGTCAGTATGCTCACCTCGAAAAGCGAGAGGACCCGGGTTCGATTCCCAGGCTGAGCAAAATCTTAGGAAAGTTCCTTGCTCCACACACACGCCTCTGTTTACCGAGCAGCGAGCAGGAACCTGGTTGTTAGTCGGTTAAAGAATCGTCAGCCACCAATAATGCATTGGATTACGTGGTGAGTTATCACTGAAGGATGTTAAGAAACACCTCCCAGGTGAGTCTAACACCTCGCTGACACTCACCAAATCCGGTCTTTAGCGAGCATGATGTCAGTCAGCCTTCAGTGCTTAATGTAAATGCAGAACACTATCCGATGTTGCAGAACCTTCCAGAAAGGGCTTTCCGTCGGTCCGTTAGTCCGTCGGTCAGTCAGTCAGGGCAAAGCACACAGGCACAGTCATGCAGTTACACAAACAACACAAGCCGCCGGTGCCAGCCCCGGTCACTGCTGTACTCACAGCCTCGACCTTCAACCCATTTAAATACCCAACTTCCCAGATTTTGAAGTACAACCATGAAATTTGCCAATTGGCTCGTCAGGGAAGCCGGGGTGCAATTGGCTGTGGGGGGAGGTACATCTTGCTGGGGGGGTGTGGATGAGTGGGGTGTGGGTAGGGATGGGGGGGAAGGGGGTGGAGTGTTTTATTGCTGGGTATGATTTAATTTTCCGGGGTGGGCGGGGGAGTGGGGATATTTATTTCCTCCTCGTTTCGCAAGAAATTCGAGTTGAGTCATTAATGAAACCTTTGTGACAAACAGCACAAGTTGTTCTGTTCCGTTATTTTCGGTCAGACATTAACTCTGAAGAGCTTGTTCTCTCTCCCTCACTCTCTATTCCATTTTGCCAAAGCTTTTCGAGATAACAGAGAACTTAATGCTTTGTCGAGGGCAGTAACTTTGTATTTTGCGGATGAAACGTGGCAGACAATTCTGTGTCTCACAAACAGGCGCGGAGCAAACACAGAAGGAGACCATTCAACCCAACGGGTCTGTCCTGACTCTCAGGGCAAGATGTGCTCTCAATCCCACTGCCCTGCCCTATTCCCAAGGCTCTATCTTTCAAAGGAGTGATTTTATGGAGTCCTGTTAGCGTAGTGGTTAGAGCGCTCGCCTCGCAAGCGAGAGGACCCGGGCTTGATTCCTGTTCAGGTCAGAGGAAACCTTAGGCAAATTTCCTTACTCCACGCGCCTCTGTTTACCTGGCAGTAAGCCGTTTCGTTAAGTCGATTTGCGGATCACCCTGCGAAAAAATAAAAAATTGCTCCCTTAGTGGGACACTGCTGTAGGCAATTGGCTGCCTCGTTTCATCCATAAAATACACAGTCACTCCATTTTACAATGTATTCTGTGAAGCACTTTGAGACGTCTCAACGACATGATAAATGCAAGAATTATTATTATTGTTATTAATGTTATCTGGGGGATTGTCAGCCAGGACACTGGGGGAGAGAAACTGCCTTCTCTTTTTCGATAGCCTTGACAGATAAACGGTTTGATGTCTCAACTGAAGGACAGCGTCTCCCTCCACCCCCAGCCCTGGACTGGAGCGTCAGCCTGGACTGTGAGCTCAGAGAACCCCCCGATGGAGGGATTGAACCCAGTCGATCAGCTGGTGGGGGAATAAAATGGGGGGAAAAACCCTGCAAGAAAAAAAAAGGTTCAAAAAGTGTCTTTGGAAAGAAATAAAGGGTTAACGAGGCTAAACCCAGACATTTCTCATCCTTTGTGTGAGTTCGAGTTTAGCCGAGATGTCAGTAATTGGGAAAGGATGACTGGCTCATGATCAGACGTTGAGTGGACACGATTGAATTACTTCAACAGCCTCTTACAGTCGTGTGTGAGGCTGAAACAAAGGGGAGTTCTACTTCCCCTCGTTCTACCCCCTCTCCTCAATTCTCCCCTCCTCCCCCTCTCTGGTGCACCCCCCCACCCCCTCTCCAGGCTTCAACCACCCCGGGTCCTCTCGCTTGTACGAACCACTAAGCTACAGGGCTCCCAAAGTTTACTTTGAAGTGACTGTGTACTTTGTTGGCAAACGCGGCAGCCAGTTTGTGCCCAGGAACGGTCCACAAACAGTCCCACGACCGTGACTGATCGTTTTATCTGGAGGATCTGTTGGCCAGGACAAGGGGGGAGAGAGAGACTCCCCTCTCCTATTCCGAGAGCATTGGACGGGGAGGAGGGAGGGAGGGGGGTGGTGGAGGGGAAAGGGAGGTCGTCTTTTGAAGCCGACCTGATCACAGACACAAACGGGACCTGGAGGAACGATGCCTCAAAAACAATCGAAGAGTTAAAAATGGATTGAAGTCGCCCTGGAAACGTGTCAGAGGCCGTGCTTCACATGGGTGTCATGTGCCAGCGCTTCCTAACTCAATTCATTTGCATTTTGTTGCTTATTACCATCTGCAACCAGAGTCTCTCCAAAGCTTTTCAAAGTAATAATAAGTCCTTTGTTTGACATAACGTTCCTTACTCAATTTCTGGAATGTCCAACGAAACATCTCAAACAGGCAGTTGCTGTCAATCGGAGTCCAGTAGCTCAGTGGTTAGAGCCTTCGTCTCGATAAGCGAAAGGAACCGGGTTCCATCGCTGGGCAGGAAGAAACCTAAGACAAATTTTCTTACTCCACACACCTCTATTTACCCAGGAATTTAACCACTTGTTAGTCAATTGGCCGATTGCTTTCCGGGGGCTAATGATCCCTCAAAAAAAATGTGGTCACTCAATCCACGACTGTTTGTGGGGACACTGCTCTGCGCAATTGGCTGCCCCGTTTCACCCACAAAAATACATAGTCACTCCATTCTATTACACCCCATTACAGTACATTATAAAGTGAAGCACTTTGAGACGTCTCAACGATGTGATAAGGCGTTATATCAAATGCAAGGATTATTATCATTTTCAATCGCTTTGAGGCGTTTTGATCTTATAGAGTCAGATTCAAGGATGATTTTTTTATGTTTCTTTCCAGTCTCGGTGGGTTCCCTTCGCTGGATATTTGCTTCTCCTCCTCTCCTCGGGGTCTCAAACGTACCAGAAAAAGGATTGAGGCTGAGACAGAGAGGGGCGAGCGAGTGAATGAGCAGGCGGGGTGGTGGGGAAAGTTAATTTCCCTGGAATGTGAGGGAATCACGTGTGTTTGCGGGGCTTCATGTCTAATGACTCCTGATTGCACTCATGTGCGTCTGTAACTAGTTGGAATGTCGAACGATAATCAACTGACACCAGCCACGAGTGAGGAAGAGAGGTGCCCAGAAGGGTAGCACTTCTGTCTCATGGCTATGGTATACGGCCCCTATGGTTAGAGCGCTCGCCTCGCAAGCGAGAGGACCCGGGTTCGATTTCCGCGCGGGGCGAAACCTTAGGCAAGTTTCCTTACTCCTCACACACGCCCTTGTTTACCAGCAGTGAGTTGGAACCCAGTCGTTCATCGATTGATGGATCGTTTTCTGGGACTCGTAAACTTTCCTCTCTAAAAAATGCGGTGACTCACTCCACGACTGTGTGTTGGACGCTGCTGTGCGCAACTGACAACTGCGTTTCGCCCACAAGATATACAGTCAATTCACTTTACAGCGTATCTTGTGAAGCGCTTTGAAACGTTTCAACGACGTAATAAGGCGCTGTATCAAACGCAAGGATTGTTATTACTATCACCATCCGAGTTGCCCACCGAGGAGACATCACACGTCCTTCGTCTGGTCCCTAAAACACCCACAAGAGGGCGATGTTGTACCACAATCTGCATGAGACCAAGTGTGCACGTGTGTGTATGCATTCGTGTGGGTGTGTGTGTGCGCGTGTGCATGTGTGTGCATACACATGTGTATGCATGCGTGTGTGTCTAAATATATAGGTCAGCGATTGCCTTCCAGCAATAAATGCAATGCAAAACTATAACGAGCTCTCACTCTCTGTCTCGCTCTCAATCGCTCTCTCACTCTCTCCCCAGGGGGCAGGAACATGATTAAAATTTCATGCCAACGCCAGGCTTTTGGAAGCCAGCAGCGAGTCTGCCTTCATCTCACACACACACACACACACACACTCCTCTGGTACGCGCCTGATAGCGTGTGGCCAGGCCAAGCAGAGAGACAACGAGCAGTGAAATAGCTTCTCCTGGGATTGTTTAATTGGTTGGAGGGTTTGTAACTCACGAGAGTTTTCAGGATCAAATGCAAGGATTATTATTATTATTATTATTATTATTATTATTATTATTATATTATTATTATTATTATTATTATTATTATATTATTATATTATATTATTATTATCACGCGGCTCAGTTAGTAACAACAACAACTTGAATTTATATAGCGCCCTTCACGCAGGACAACATCTCAGAGCGTACAACCGGGTTCCTACTCACTGCTGAGCAAACAGAGACGTGTGTGTGGAGTAAGGAAACTGGCCTAAGGTTTTGCCCCGTCTGGAAATCAAACCCCGGTCCTCTCGTTTGTGATGCGAGAGCTCTAACCATTATGCTTCGGGACTAGATTTGTTGCTCGTGTTAAAGATAAGGCGAAACTCAGGCCGACGGAGAGGGCAGAGTGTCGGAGTCGAGTCGTTTTAAGTTGGAACGACTGAATGAGGTTTCAGCGGAAGGCGAGAGACATTTCCTGCAGCTGACAGGACAGATTAATCCTCCTCGCGCTCGCCGAGTCTGCTAATGGATTCCCCGCTGCTACTCAGCCCTCAGCTCAGGGTCGTGTGTGGGTGAGCACTCAGTGGGGGGAGAGTTCCTGATTGCTTTCTCTCCTCTTTCAGTGTGTTTGCTGTCACTCGCTGCACCAGTGCCACAGGGTGAGATGAAGTCTTGTGGATGTGATGTGTTTGCTCTGCGCTCTCTCTCCGACCCGCAAACCTCGATCTCCCTGTTTTGTGGCCGCTGTACTCTCCAATCAGCATCAGTTGCGAGCCGTGTACCTGACTCCGCACTGTCAGCCCGGCTCAGTCAGTCATCCACGCTCTCGCCTCTGAGTCAAAAGGTCTTTGCTTTAAACAACCCCCACATCAGGGTCTCTGAGCTCACAGTCTTGGTTGACGGTGCGGTTCTGGGAGTGGGTGGTGGTGGGGGGGGGGTGGGGGAGACGGTAGGGGGAGTGTTTCGTAATAATAATAATCTTTGCGCATTTGATGTAGCGCCTTATGGAGGAACCGAGTGAGAGGATTCCCTGCTCCCGGTGACCGGTCTGTCCTTCCAGGCTGGGCTGTGCCCTGGAATACTGCGGTCCAGCCTGGCCCAGGAGCCGAACGAGAGACCCTCACGGTCGGCTAATTGCACACCAGCGTCCCGCAACCAGTCGTGGATTAAGTGACCACATTTTATTTAAAGGGATTATTACCCCCGGAAAGCGATCCACCCATCGACCAACAACTGGGTTCCTATTCACTGCCGAGTAAACAGAGCAGTGTGTGCGGAGTGAGGAAACTTGCCTAAGGTTTTGTCCTGACCGGGAATCGAACCCGGGTCCCCTCGCTTG